CCCATGGTCTACCAGCGCATGTCCATGAACATCACGCTACTGGAGGGCGGCATCCTCTTCCACTCCGTCTTCGTCGGCATGACCGTGTCCATCACCATCGACGGCTTCGTCATCCTGCTCGTCGCCATCCTTTTCCACCAGATGTTCGAAGGCCTCGGCCTCGGCTCCCGCATCGCCGCAGTCCCTTACCCCAAGGGGAGCATCCGCCCGTGGCTGCTGGTCTTCGCCTTCGGAACCACGGCGCCCATCGGCCAGGCTATCGGCTTGATCGCGCGCAACAGCTACGACCCCAACAGCGCCTTCGGTCTTATCATCGTCGGTGTCTTTAACTCTATGTAAGTACATAGTTTCCCTAAATCCTCTAAGCCGAAGCCTACGGGATATGTGTATGTATGCTAACGTGCTCGCGTAGCTCATCTGGTCTCCTCATCTACGCTGCCCTCGTTGACTTGCTTGCCGAGGACTTCCTCTCCGAGGAGTCCGGCAAGGTGTTGACGATGAAGGACAAGAAGATCGCGTTCCTGTTTGTCCTCCTTGGAGGTAAGTTTGCTAGCAATCCACCCATACGCGGTACCTTGCTAACAGGATATAGCACTTGGCATGTCAATCGTTGGTGCCTTCGCTTAAAGAGCGTGGCAACACCGACTGGGTGGCTGCTCCGCTTCAGTGCCTAAGGACTACTCGAAGTAGGATTTTAAACAATTGACGAATCTTATGGAGGTGTATGTTGTGTAATGATGGAGAAAAAAAATGCCGGTGTATTGTAGGTAGAAGAGACCGAGAGTGGGCGTCGCTGGATGATATATAAGCATTGGGCAGGAATCCCTTGTTTTTTTTTTTTTTTTTTTTTGCAGAGTACGCTCGAAAGTTTAGGTAGGGTCGAAGAGAGTTAATTTTAACACACACACACACACGCACACACACACACACAGTCCTTACCGCAAGCACACCAGCATTATGGATTCGTCAAGTTCAAAGAACGAGAGCGATAGCGCAGAAAAGTCAGGAGCGCGCGAGAGTCTAGTTGTAGGCAAAGAGCAGTTACCCTATTTCCCCCTAATCTTGGATTTCAGAACGAGAATAGGGGGAGGTTCTGCTGAAATGCCCGCGGGACTTACGAACGAACGAATGAAACCCGATCCCCTACTCCCCGATGAAATACAACCGGTATAAACGCATGGGGGAAAAAAAGGCTCAGTCAAGAAGGATTAATTGGGGGGGGGGGGGGGGGGGGGTCATACTAGAGAATTTTCCTTGGTGCGAATATTATCTCTGAAGCTCCTTGGTTACGTTATGAGAATATCACGATATGTATCGATAAGTAGTTAGCGCGTGAGAGAACAGAAGAGAAGAGAAGGAGAAATATGAAGGTCTAGGTTACTATTTTGTACAGTAGTGTGGACTGAAATTCACAGAATTGAGATAGATAGAGAAGGGGAAACTCTTAGAAAATATGGCGCGATGAAAGTTATGATGCCGGTGAGCTTGAACTTGAGGATTTAGATACATTTAACTACGAGCTCCCTATGGCCTGAGATCTTTTGCACAGATTTAACTATCTAGGTAGGTAGATTCACTTCCAAACTCATAGATGACCCAACTCATAAATGAGTGGGTTATCGCCAGCTCCCTAAGTCTTGTCACAATAGACTTTTTCGCTGGTAAACTCAGGCAATTCCCGTCTGGCCTGCCTTCATCCTGCCTATGTCTATAAGCATAACCTTATTGCCCCCCCTGAAACCACTCCCGAAGCCATACGAAACGAAGCCAAGATATCCTTTACAGAAGATATCTCTTATGTAAAACTCGACCGCGTGTTCTCTTGCTTGATATGTGCCTGACTAAAACAAGGCCAACCTAATCCAAACGACGTGCGTCTCGGTAATCTGATATATATTAACTAATGTAGAGAAGAGTTTCCGATGGGTTGTAGGATGCGGGGCCAAGAATATTCTGACGAAGCGGGGGACGATGGAATGGTAGGTACCTTGTCTGTAATTAATCATGACTAACGAGATGGAATTCTAGAAATAGAGGTCTTGGGTAAGAACCAAGAAGCTAGTAGCTTTAGGAGGGCATCAAGATATAGATAGATAAGCAGGGTGCGAACGTGGATTTCCTGGCTGTGTTTTATAGATAAGTTAGACACGTTTAACATAGACCTTGCCACTTGTAAATTGCTGGCTTCTCTTGGATAGCTTACGAACATGTCATGTACTTGAATAATATAACCAGTTGGAACAAAAAATATACAAATTTGAGAATACTTATTAATAATTCAACGCTCGAACTATAAGAATTGTAGATGCTTCCTGAGCTTCGCTTCCCAACATCGTGGTCTGATATGGGTTCCAGAATCAACAGGCGGAGAGTAATAGAAATGAGCCGGCGTTAGTAAGGAGACGTGGGTAAGAAATACTTAAAAACCTCCAAGTAGTTAAGGTCTATAGGTTTAGATTGTCAAACTACATTTGGTGGGAGGTAGTTATGTAGGTAGATTTTGTCAAGAAGGGCGAATAACTAGCGCCTTGAGATATTGACAACCTACCTCGTCCGAGAGATACAAAGCTCCGTCCAGGTTTAACTACAACTTACCAAAGAAGCTCGACTAGGTCCCTCGGGGAAATTAGTCTGAACATCCAACTACAAGAAATAAAGACTCAACCAGCCCGTAGCATCAAGAAGTTCGAAGGTATCTATCTTGGCAAGGAACATAAGGTATCAAGCATCAGTCTGAGAGAAGTTATAGCGAAGCGAGTCCCTATATTCTAAACTAGATGTGATAATTGTGCTGTCAGAATACAAACACCCTCTATTCAAGGACTCCCAGATGGTCGTCCGATCGAAAGAGGTAGATGCTACCATGCAACGTCCTTTTCAGATTACTTCGAAGGGAGGAATTAGGAACCAGAGATCATGGTTTTCGCCTTCCCAGCTTGATAATTGACGACTGTAGCCAACAACCCGTAATAATGAAGCCCCCTCTTCAGCCCTCTCCCATTCAATCCTCTCCCCTTCAACCCCCTCTCCTTCGTTCCTCTCCCATGTTCTCCCCCCAAGACTCAGAATTTGCTGACCTGCAAGGGCCGATAATCATCACAGTGTTAATGGCCCCAACCACGAAATACATTACACGAGTTTTACCACAGATTAACTCGGGTGCTTCACATCACGGGAAATAACTAACCAACCGCCCAAAAAGTGATGTGTTGTGGTGACTGAGAGTGGACAGTTGAGCCACTTTACAAAAGTCACCCCAAAAGCATGGTCCCCGACCTTCTGGCTTGCCAGAACCGATACATTTATTTCCCCAACTCATTTGTCCGGATGATGCCCTCGGTAAAATGCGGAACCCCCGCCCCGGGGCGGGCGGCGGCGCGGGGGCCGCCGGGGGCGCCGCCGGGCGGGGGGGGGGGGGGGCCGGGGGGCGGCGGGGGCGGGCGG